GAGACGTCGTGCTGCGGGTGTGGGAACGCAAAGGTGGCGCGCGTTTCCAGACCCAGCCTTTTGCTTACGTGCAACCGGTGCTCCGCGCGATCGCACGGTTGGACCCTGACCCGGACCCATGGGCCTACTATCGCCCATTCGATGAACGAGTGCCGAATGCCGAGGCACTGGCGAGCTATCCACTGCTGCAGGTGGCGTGCGACATTGATCGAGAGGTCGGGCATCTAATCCGCCTAGGCGTCGCAGTCACGGCCCGAAAGGCGTTGTCACGCGAAGAACCGTGGGTGATCGCCGGCATGGAAACGGCCGAAACCGAGGAGGACCATGCTGCCCGTGCTCTGCAGCAGCTCGTGCGGCGCCTACGTTTGCCAGCTGGCCCGGATCCGCGTGAGACGCTGGAATCAGACAATCAAGTGAGTATGGAATCTGGCAGCGCGCACTCAGCAGCGCCTGTAGATGACAAGGTGTGCCCGAGCGAACCGGTAAGTGCGGATGCTAACTCGAACGACGCTGCCGACACGTTCGAATCGGCAGACGCTCTCACTATGGGGCTCCGAAGTGCGGTCGTCCGATGCCGTCGCTTAATCGATCAGTTCGCAGACCTGTGCGAGGAACAAACCGCCGTTGAACGCGAAGAAAACATGGGCCGGACCGAATCAATGGCTTGTGAAGATCAGACACCTGAAGACGCGATGGAGAGGGACTGATACATGAAGTGGTGATAGGTCGGGTTAGTCAGCATCGCTCCTGACGCTCACCTGTGGCAGCAGTGACTCCGGGACGAGGACCTATACTGCCTGGTCGGACCCGTCGGTGAGAACCCCGACCGATACGCTTCAGCCAGGGACCAGCCGAGAGGATGCAGTGACGGCCACGGATGATGGACGCAGCGAGGGTTATTTCCGGTGGTGTCCCATAACGCACGCACCGAAGTCGAACCCGACGGAGGAGCACGCATGGATCGTGCGGCGAACCGACCAACTGCTGGCCGAGGAAATCGATACCGGGATCCCTGTGGAGCGTCTGGTGCGGGTGCTGGCGGTGCCGATCTCGGTGGTGAAAGAGCGAGCCGACC